AAAGTTGTTTTGGTGTAGTAAAAATCTAATACCTCGAAGTTTTAAAAGAAACAATTTTTCTTACAAAAAATAATTCATCGCGCATATTATTTCTAAAATTTTTTTTCAGTTTTATCAAAAGGATTCCAAGCGAAAAAAATACAACGAGTACACGAAAGTGTAATATTTGCTGAATCGCATGGTTCTTTATCGTTGCTAATTCAAAAACTGCCAAACGTGATTGCATACAAAAATAGTTTTGATAAAAATCACCATAAAAACAAGTTACTTTTTTGCAACACTTATATTTGTCCTCATGGTGTATGTTTGGAAGTGCTGACTGTTCAAAAAATTTTGTCTCGTAACATTGGAAAAGAAACTCATTTGCAGAAAAAGAGTTAAAACACTTAATTTTTAGCTCAGGAAATCTGCCTTTTACTTCGTTCACAGAAAATTTATCCGTCCTTCAAAATTTTGCCATTTTGATCAACTGAGACAAGTGTTGGCAGTTGCTCTCTTATAACCAACATTTCATAAAGTTGTGCCATCTCACTTGACCACTTAACTTCTAATCTGAAAGGTGCACCAACATTTTCAGGAAGGTACCAGGCTTGATTACGCTGTTCAGTTGATGTGGGATCAAATATCAAAAAAAATGAATATGTAATAAATCAAGACTTAAAGGATGACTTTTTTGTTAAAGTGTAAATCTTGAAAATTTTTGAAAGTGTTTTGCTGATTACGAGTTGTGCTATATCTACAATTGCAGCACTATTCCAAACAAAACATATTAGTGTTAAACTATGTCTGAAAAATGAAAATGATTTGATTTCCATTGAACGCTGAAGAGAGCATTAGGACACATAATAACTACCAGTTTTAATTAGACTTCGAATGGAAAACATCTACCCATTCAACTGATTCTGAACCATAAGTGTAACAATTGTTTTTGGATGGGTTTTAGCTCATTAAGCCTTCTCAAATTGAGATGTGTACAAATTCAGCCACCGTATGAAACCTCGCAAAAAAGACGCGCGTCTCAATTCAATCAAAAATAATGAATTGGCAACTTGGGTTACTAGAATAACTTCTGGTTTTTAACGAGTGAATAGTATTCAAAGGTTGCTCGTAATGAATTTTGACTAATCGATGACAAAAAAATCACAGCTAGTTTTCCATAAAACACAACACCGCTTTAAAATCTTCTCTTTAATTGAAGATGTCTATCATGTTTACTTTTTGTCGTTATCAAGTGACGAAAGCTGTACTTGATAGCTTTAACTTTGGTTAGTTGATTGTTTGTTGATGCTGCCCTCGGTATGAGACAGCTTTGTCTCAAGGAATGCTCTTTGAGCGTACACGTTTTAGAATTTTGACAACTTCGTTCTTCAAAATCGCATCGCAAATGGAAAGTGTGCAAAACTTTATTACAGAATGCAGCCGTTAAAGCATCTGTGACATTCCCCTAAAAATGCGTCAATTTCCAAACTTTTGTTGTCTTTTTCAATGTTGTATTTAGGTTTTCAACTCAAAACATTGCAACTCCAAGTGAATTCTACGATCGAAATTTAACAAAAATCAATATCTGTGGTCTCATCAGAATTGAAGAGAAATGTCTTCTGCTCGTTTGAATTGTCTAATGTCACCAGTACTTCAGTTCTAGTGAAAACGTCAGAAACTAACCAGTGCGCTGCCTTGTAATCTTCCATTTCATGCACGGGAAAGTTTAGTTAACGAGTCAGACTTTTTTGTTTGCTTTTCTTTCTTTTGAAAGGATGACGGGCTGATTCGAGATGCTGGTTTTTTAGAAACGTCCTATTTTTCGGAATATCCCCAACCTCTTCTTTTTTCCTTTGTTTGTTTTTCTGCTCGTTTAAGTTCCCTTTTCAGGCTCGTCTTCTCTTCCACTCTATTCAAAAATTCGGGCAACATGTTTGCAGCAAATTTTTTTACCATTTTTTTTGAATATTCTTAAAGACAAACGGAAATGCATAGAGAGCTAGCCTGAGAGCTAGTGATCAATGATCACTACCACTTTGTCCTACAGTATTGCATAAAATTTTGTTTCGAGCTTATTGCTTATGATAGCGACTGGCCATAACAAAGTTTTTTCAAAAAAGGGTTCCAGAATTGCTGTCTTCAATTTTTCATATTCGTAAAACTTTCCATCCAACACTTCATCTTTCTTTTGTTGCAGATTGTATGCTATTGGTGAAGTTTAAATTTTCGTCACTGAATTGCTGACAAGATTTTTTACGGAAAATTCCATTGATGCAATGCTGGCTCGATCTTTCAGGTAGAATTTTGCTCGAATTTTCCATTTAACCTCCAAATTTTTCACTATTAGCGCTTCAAAGAATCTGATAGCACTTTAATTTCTAAATATGTGATACTTTCGATTAGCAATGCTGTGCAAAAATTTCAAATGATCTCTCAATTTTTTTCCCCTGACCTCGCCATCTTCTATCAGATGTGTCGGATGAATCAAGAACAACTCCCCCCCCCCAAATTTTTCACTATTATCGCTGCAAAGAATCTGATAGCACTTTCATGTCCAAAGATATGATACTTTCAGTTGACAATGCTGCGAAAAATTTACAAATTATCTCTCAATCTTTCCCCTTACTTCTCCAACTTCTATCAGGTTGGTTGGATGAATCAATAATATTTCTAGCAAATGCTTCTTTTGCCTATTGAGTAGTGTTTTGTTTTGCTATTTCTACACGGACGAAGCGAGATAAAATGTTTGTATAGTCCAAAAAAATTGGTTCATCGTTTGAAAGAGCAGTTTTATCCATGCCAAATGCATCAATACGCCAAATTGTTTTAATATCATGAGCAAAAATTTGTAGTCTAGCGTATAATTTTTTTTGCCACAAAAAATTTTTTGTACGCCAGCCTTTTTTCGAAACTTTTTCACCATCTCTGTCGCTAAATTTTATAAATTCATCTCTTTTTCTTGGAAATTTATGGTTGTGGTATACTAGTACGATGCTTATTAAATGAGCTTTGCATAACTTTTGAATACTTTTACACTTTTCTGTCTACCTTCTGGATCATTTCATTTTGTTTTTGAAAAGTGTTTTGAAGTGTATAAAGGAACAAACTGAGAGATTTACTATTGTTTTGGAATCGAAAAAAAAGTATGTTCAGACCGATTTTGTCACTGTTATTATCGAATTTTGTTTTCAGTACAAATCGACTGCCTGCCTGAATGCTTTTTTTGTTCGACCGACTTTTTTCACAAAAGAATCAACAATGTTATCATTGTTTTCATCAGATTGCTCCTCGCGAGCCTTTACAGTTTGCTCCTTTTGCCTAATAAGTTGTGTAGCTGACACTGTTTTTGATGTTGCTTTTTGCTGATTTTAAATCCACAAGGAAATGGTTTTTCCAGTATATTCTTATCAAAGTATTGACTTCGGGAGTTTAGATGGTTATTGCGGCAGAACTGTGAAAATATAACGATAAGTATTAGGAAAAATAAGATCCATATTTTGAAACTCAAATAACTTGTGAGATAGCACAGTACTGCCGAACAATCACTTTTAAGTTAGCTTATTAATATTTGTAACTCAAAACTGCAAGTGTTTCTGCTAGTGAAACTGATTTTAAAGTAAATACGTGCAATTTCCGCATTTTTTCCATTCGTTTTTGCCTCACTCCTTGCATTTTATTTCCTGTGAACTTATTCACTAGCACATCTGACAAAAAAACGTAAAAAAAACTGTCACAGTCATTGGTTAATTAAATTTTTTTGTCCCCAAAAACTTCTCAGCAATAAGACTTGCTGTGAATTGATCTCATCGCTAAAAGTAGTTGTTTTTGCTTGCAAGTTGTGTAAATAGAAAATGGTGGAATAAAATTTGAACTGTAGCGGAGGACGTCAGAAGATGTTCGCGCTGGAAGATCTGCCAATGAAAAACCAAAACGTTTCTATGTTTTTCGGCTAATCAGTCAAAAGTTTCGACAAAACTCAGTTGTTTGCCAAATGCAGAAACTGTGTTTACATCACTAGTAGACTTGAACAGGACTATTTGAGTCAGTATAAGCTCGGCTTCTCTGTCATGTGGGTTTAAGTATAAAAAACTATATTCGATATAATCTACAAGTAAAAGTCGTCCAGCCATAGCAATTTTCGAAATTTTGTTCAAATTTTGAAAGTAATGTGATAAATCAATCAAATTTTGAAAGCTTTTTCACTTTGTTTTGATTTGGAAAGTTTTCCATGGACAATTGGTTAATCAAAACAAAATATACTCCCTGTATAAACAGAATGATGCACACATTTTTTGGATATTCTCTCAGTGGTTGATATTTTTTGTAAATCTAGCTATTTGAAACACACATTGGTTCAAACCTTTTGTATTCAAACATGTCATAAGACAACAGGGTTTTACTGGAACCACTTGGTCTCACCAAACATTCCATCATTTGTCCAAATTGTTTCTTCATGTTTTGTGAGCAACCATACTCCTCACGTTCTTCAAAAATTGAGAAAAGTACATCAAAAATTATTTAAGAACAGTTATGGTGCAAAGAAGTTCCCTTTTCTTTGTGTTTTTGACGTTTTGACTCCAACTATTTAAAATGCTGTGCTGAAATTTTGGCATTTGGTTTTTGAAACAAAATCAAACTATCAGACCGGATTTAAAAACCAAAAAACTTCGTGTGGCAGTCAGTTGTAATTCGTTATAAAAATCGTTATATATATTGCTCTATTATAACTCGTTTGAGAGGCAGTCTTGTTGTTGAAATATTTGCCATTGAAATGACACAATGAAGTTGAATAAATGGACCGGAATTTTTTAATTTTGGGAAGCCAATGATCTTGACTTTTTCCTCAAAGTGAGACAAACAAGAACGGTTGAAACAAAATTTTGAGACCGTTTTTTACCAATTCTGCAGCGACAGGTGATTTTTTTGCTAATCCTGCGTGGATGAAACTAGTCAACAAAAATATTTCAGAAAACGTTGTAAGAAATGCAAGGAATTCATACATCGAAAGCATAGACCAAGAGTCTGGACAAAAATTAAATTTAAATTGAAAGACTGACTCAATGATTTAAATCTATTTATTAATGGCTGTTCGCACGCATTTAAGTTCTTTAGTTGAGACCAGGTAATTACTCTTGCTTTTGCAGTTTTTTGTTTTGTTTCAAAGTTCATTTTAAGAAAAACCTTCAGCTTTGTTACTATTTTCCTTGCTTAAAGTTTTTCTTGCTTTTTTCCGAGTTAATTCTTAACAATTAATTTAATGTTCTGCATTTTTTTCTTCGTCGCGTGATGGTAGAGGAGGCCGTGGCTGCGGGACATTGGGACCCCCAAACAATCCCACTCCTGCTGAGCCTCCTGAGACTCCATGATGGAAAGACACTGCACTTCCACTGACGTGTACACTGCGTAGGTGTCCGGAGGTTCCGAGTGGCATGGCCTGTCGTCGAATGTGGAAGCTCATAGCCACTCCTTGGGGCGATCGGAGGCTGTAGTCACCCCTTGGGAGGTAGGCGACCACTTGTTGAAACTGTCTCATCAGGGTAAGGGATCCTAACAGGTCCCCTTGAACAATACAAAAAGTGCCATTTATATTTAATTCTAAAACCCAGATTTTTTTGATGTTTGCCAAATGTTGAACGAAAAATATTTTAATGCAAAAACTGCTATAGTTAGTTGAATCGGTGAATCAAAATCCAGATTTTTCTTTCAGAATTCAGTACTGCATGAAAAGTTTGAACTTAAAAAGTTTGATGGTGTTTTTTTTTATTAAAAAACTTTCTTAAGAGAAGCACTATTATGACATTAAAACTTAGTCTAAAATTATAGAAGCATGAAAATGAGTAAACAAACCAGAATGCAGATGTTGCATGAGTTCGTTGTTGATTCTCTGCAGCTCCTCCGCACTTTCAACCATCTCATGGGGCGCTTGCATATCCCGCGCTTGCAAAGTCCATGGAGCTTCGGATCCTTCGCTGTCGGCAAGAGGCTTTCCCGACTCGGTCCTCGAAATGTCCTCGGCTTCTCCAGTCTGCTCCGAGTTATCGGTGTCGGAGGCTAATTGCTCCTTCGGCTCAGCAGTTGCAGTTGTTGTCTTCTTCAACTTATCGTCCAGAAGTCTCAAAACATTTGAAACTTTCTCGCGAACCAGCGTCACGGCTTGCTCGGTGTCTTCTTGATTTTTCGGATCCAAGCCATCGAGTTCCCTGCGGATCTCATCGATCATGTTGAGCGGCTTCAGTTGGTATGCAGTAGAACCCGAGCAGAACTTGTGGATGTGACTTCCATATAAGGAAATGTTTAGGCTGATCGGCTGGCCGATGTCGAAGAAGAGCGACTCTGCCATCTTAGTGACAATCATGGCCGCCTCGTGGTTGATTTGGTTGAGAAGTTTGGTTATGTTGCTGAGTGGGGGAAGATTGAGAAGGTGAGTTTTTCCGACGTAGCAGACAGGGAACTTGAACTCTGAGTTGAGAGGGGTGGGGGCGTGGGGATGTTGTCGGTCATCAGGAACATGCAGCAATTTCAGAGCTGAAATGTTTGAGAAGACCAAAATAAACTTATTCAGATCTCAAATAGTTTGATTATTGAGAAGCATCGAAATAACATAGAAATAATATAAGATAGAGGTCCGTTTTTGCCGGTCAAGGTAGTTCAATATAATAACTATGCACTTGAAATAGCTTCGCGTATAGATGATTTCATGATAAGTTGTATTTTTCCAACTATTTTCACTTATAGGTATCTTAAACCATTAACAAATTTGCCTTTTGCATTGATGAAGCCTCTTACAGAAGAATCTTCTAAATAATTTCAATTAATGCACCACTTCGACCAATTATTTCTCACAGCAGCAACGAACAAAATTTTTGTATCAATTTCTGTATTTTGAAATCTTGGTGCGTTTTGTGAAGCTCGACCTTGATTCACGTACCTGTGTAATTTTTGTCAGTATCAGTGAACAGTGAATAGTTCCTATGTCTATCCCCACTGTCCAGGCGCCACTTGTTCACGCCCACACGCAACCACACATCAGTCCAGTTAGCCACCTTCAGTCGCACTGCTCCATGACCTCGACCTCCACCGTGACCTTGACCACTTCCATCATCATTTCTGTCGTCCAAAAGGTCTTCATCTTCATGTTGACCCAAATTAACCTCGCTCATCGGAACGACTTCAATCGCGTCTTCACTTTGATCATCTGCCGTCTGTCTGGAATCGTCATCCGGGAGGTTTCTCAGCTGGTGCATTGGCTGTACCACATGATCATTGTTAAGCTGCTGCTGCCACTTATACATTCGGTACTTCTCGAATGTGTATTTGCTGAGACAGACAATCAACATTCCACAAAGGAGTGCCATGATAAGCCTCAGCATCATGCGTCGCCATATTTTGTTTTCGTTCTCCGGAATATTGAAAGTCACCTTCTTTGATCCAGCGCCCTAAAAGAAATCAACTTCAGAGGCACCTAGCATAGTGGTAAGGCGATCACTTTCCGATTGTCAGATCGTGTAATTGATCTCCTGCCATGGCAATGATAAAAGCTCTATGTTCTCAAGCTAATTTAACCTCTAGCTTCAGCTCTACCACAGCTTGCACGATTTCGGCTGCGGGAGTGGTAGACGCAAAAAGACGACCTTGAGTCGCAGGAAAAAGAAAATTTTGTCGACCTTTTTTTTAGGTCGATCAAAACAATTTCCGAGCTCTTCCAAAGCACTGAAAAAGATCTTTTATTGGCCATATTTTGTGCACCGCAGGCAAAACAAAAAAACACAAGCAAAAAAAGGCGTAAGACGTTTTTAGGCACTTTTTAGCAAATTTTGACCAAAAGATCGCGTTTTTTCAGCGCGCGCTTTCGCCTCAAAGTTAGTAATAATTGGCGCCTAAGGCGCCTTTGGAAAATTTTTAGGGTCCCTCAGCCAAAAATAGATATCTCAAAATAGTACAAAGGGGGACCCTTTGAGTCGGCGGGGGTTCGAATCCCTGACGGAAAAAACGTCCGCCTCCCCACGCCACCCCTATGTGATCATTTTAATTAATTATTGTGGTATAATTTTTGAGAACCCCGATTTATTTTAACCCACCGAACAGCGTTTAATAAGAATTACAACGGAACCATTTATTCTTTGCGTGATGAATTTTCTCTGTAATGTAAACAACCAGAGAGATAAAACCCAGTGTATTTGGGAGAGTTCCAAAAAATGATTGAAATAAAAAGTAACCAAACTTCTATAAAACATTGCTCAAAAATTAGAGAAATAAGTCAAGTTTTTTCATCTATACACTGTACAAAATTCCGATCTAATATTTATTGTTAAGTTGCTACAAAGCAAAATGTGAAAAACCGTGGTTAACCTTATACTGACCTTGTTTGATTTAGACTGCATTTTGGGGAGAGGCATTTCCCCCTCATCATAACCCTCCCCTCTATCCACATCCTGCTCTACTAAAACATGCGTGTCCTTCAGTGTAATCCCCAGCACCATTTCGCCCAAATCAGTCTCGAAAGTCTCCGCAACAGGGTTCGAATCCCGCTCGGAACCCGTGGAAGACTCGCTGTCTTCTTGAATTGTTTTCATGCCACTTTTGCCCTCTTTTTTCTCAGCGGAGGACGAAAAACCAGTCAAGACAGTCATTTTGGGTAAATTTTAATAAAATTCCGTCAATTTTTTGTAGTTTCTTAGATATAAGTTTTCAAATAAACAATTTTACAGTCTTATGAAAAGTTGGCCATTGGGTCGCTCGTAGCTTTAAAATATTAAAAAATGAGCACATTTATAATTGGATATATCATAAAAAATGGAGAGATTGATTTCAGAATGTAAGAAAGAGAATTATTCGGTCGTTTTATAACACAGACAATTTTCCATGTGGTACAGTTGAAGATGTTCACCTGCACGTTCATAAATATTTGCACCATTATTAAACATTCCGCAGGTGCATCCACCATAAATATTTAAAATTCCCATTTTGGTTTCGTACTCAGCGTGAACGTTTCCTTGGTGTTATTTTGTGAGCTGCTTAGATTAACTATTTCATTTTTCGTGTTTTCAGCTCTAAATCATTTTGTCAAAAACAAAAACACTGACACTTTTTACATTTGTTCAGAAACTTCTAAACAATTGATTCAGTGGAAAAAACATCATTTAGGCTTATTTTCAACAATGTGACGTTTGCTACTCAATTAAGTTTTTTTTCGGTCTGACCATTGAAAATAGGGAGAAATTTTTGTCTTCCGACGTGTTTTTGGTTTTTTCCACGCAAAATCGTGTACCACAATTGATCATCGGAAAATGGGTCGAACGATAAATCATATTAAAGCCCCCTTCGTTTAACAAAAAATTTGTTTAATTGCAAAAAATTTAGTTTTACTGCAGGAAAAAGAGCTTTGGTAGCTTCATTTACCGCTTCCTTGGTCAAAAAAAACTTTTCCTGCAGTAAAACTAGGGTTGAAAAAAAATTGTCTGCCGAAACATACGAAAAATTTTTTGTTGTCTGTTTTTCGAAGACTGTGGTTGACACTGTGGCTACTTCAATAAAGTCATGCACATTTATACAGGCCTCTCATCATACCACGCACAAACACGACAATGATCTGATATATATTTTTTCAATCGTGGTCAATTTATTTTATGTTGCTTGCAAAACAACCGACACTATCCTTGCTGATTCTTGAGTTTAAAGATCAGGTTATGCTTAAGAATGTTGTAGTTTTTGTTCCAAACATTGAAAATGGTGAGAAACTTTGTACTTGGGTGTGTTTGTTTTTTGTTTGTTTTCCCTGCAAACTCAGGTACCACAAATAACTATTGAACTGGGCTGAGTGATATATCACCTAAAATCCTTTTAAATTGTGATTCGAACCAGATCAAAAAATTTCAAAAAAGTTTTCCCGGTGAAGAGAAAAACCGGTTTGAAGTTTTTGATTTTTCGTCTAATTTCGAGCGACTGAGCAGACTTACATTAGCTTAGTTATGCTTAGTTTAAGCCTTGAAACTTTAGTTTTACTCAAATGAAGTTAATTTTTGGAGTTTTTAGCTTCATCTTAGAAACCAAAAACTTCAAAAATTTGGGACACAAATTTTGAAAAATACAAATTTTTTTTTTGTTTTTCTTGTTGTTTGTCTTCAAAAATAGTTTTCCAATTTGCGTATCTTACAATGACTGACGAAAATGTTTAAGCTCTACTTTTTAGCTCAGATTCCTTTATCCCACAAAAGCGAAAAAGCGACACTAATTGGAATAATATCTTTGTTGTAATTTTTGAAGACTAGTCGGAACTCTCTCTGCTATTTGCACAGTAACCGGTTTTACTTGTTTTTCCGGTCATTGAAGATGAAAAGAACTTTAGATTCAGGTGTTTTGGTTTTTTTCTACTTTTTGTTTTCCACGCAAACTCAGAAAAAAAAGGTTTTCCACGCAAAAATTTCGTTTTTCCAGTCAATTTTCTTCAAAACTGTTTTACAATTGACTTATTTATTTTACTATGACTCTCTGAAATATGCTTATGTTTTGTTTTTTATCCTTCAGATCTTTTTTCACAACACGCAGAAAAAACGACACTTATTTGAAAAAATTTGTTTATATTTTTTTCAGACTGTGGTCGGAACATTCTGTGCTACTTGCACATTAACCGGCTATACTTGTTGTAATTTGGATTCAAATATTTAAGGATTGCTTGAAAATGCACCACGGAAAGGACACAGGTTTCTGAAAGCTTTTCTCGACAATACCAAACAATGTAATAACTTCGAGTATCGATTAAATCATGATTGAAAGGAGTTTGATAAGATTTATTTTTGGAAACCAACTGACATTTGTTTGTTCTAGCTGTAAAAAATCGATTAAGTTCACCTGAAGGTTGGAACAAAAAAAACACATTGTCTGTAAATTGAATGATTTGCTTTGTCAAAACTGATTTTTAGTTCATTTTACTACGAAAAAATCAAATAACCAGAGAAAGCGTAGAGCAAACTATAAAACAATAAAACTAATTCTAGCATAAAGTAGACATTTCTTTAGCTTCGGTCAGCGTTTCCACAGCACAAAAAGTCATAATCTTTCAAGGAAATGAAACCAGAAAAAAAAATTTAGGACTATTTACGATACAAATTTAGTTTTTGTTTTGACTAAAGTTTTATCAATTGCGCACATCATGCACTCAAAGAACACTACTTTCTAAAAAAAATAAGCAGCTTTTCAATATTGAAAAAAAAAACAAAAAAAATCAACTGTGGTGGGAATTTTTTGTGCTACTTGCAACATTTTTGTGCTACTAGCAGCTTTTTTTTCTCTAAGATTTCGAGATTTGCTTTCATATGAAACTGGATAAGAGTCTAAGGTCTGCATGATCTCTGATAACTTTCTAAGCAATATCAACCCATAAAATATAAAAAAATCCGCGTAATTCTTATTAAAGGCCTAAACAGCGGTTGTACGGAAAAATCTAACTATTAAACTGCTGAATGTTGTTTTGAGAAAAGTAAATTTGTTTATTTTATTTTTTTTCACCAAAAAACTACCTTTTAGTTTGGTTTACAACAACCGGTGAGACCTCCGAAACTTACCCCGATCAAAAAATTGCAAAGTTTTTAATTTGCTTTATTGCGGAAATTTTTCGATAACCAGACAAAAAACCAAACAGTATGTGTTATTTTCACTACATTTTTATATTTTGTAGGATTGAAAAGATTGAATTCAGATTTCTTAAGAACTAAAATTAAACTACACTATGTTTTAAGAACAAAGAACTGATTTCTAACAAAACTAAGAGAAATTCCTTCAGAAATTTTGCTAATCAAAATGTGTTGATGCAAAACGCAATGGCGAAAAGTGAACAAAACAAATAAATTGTACCAAATTTTTTGGCTTTGATGTCTCTGATTTGCTTTTTGAATGAAAAGTTGGATGAAGAACAAGCAAAAACAATTAATTTTTTTCGATGTTTTTTTTTCGCAAATGCAATATTATCTACCTCAGGGACGCATCCTCTTCAGGGATTCGACCTCTTGCCAACCCAAAGGATCTGCCTTTGTACTATTGTGAGATATCCTTTTTTTCAGCTCACTGACCCTAAATATTTGGTAAGATGCCAAAAAAACTCATCAACATGTACAAATTTTTTGAAAAGACGCCTCTGCCCTTAAAAAAAACCCTGGATCCGCCCCTGATCTACTAGTTGGTATACTTTGTTTCTAGTAACACAATCCTTTTAACCAATTAGCTTGCCTCAGCTCAATTTGGAGGAATTTTTGAATTCGATTAATTGTATCTTACTCATCAACCAAAAACTCTAATCATGGCACTTCTTATTCAATCAAAAATAAAAATTAATTTAAGGGCAATTAGACACATAAAGATTGTCTCTTTTTCAATTCCTCTCGTAAGTTAGATTTCAAACTATATAAAAAACAACCCATGCTAGCATTAAAAAAACTTATCCTGAAATATAAACATTTGTTTTCTTCTAACTCAAACTTATGGACATGAGAATCATGCATATTGATCATTACGAGGCCAAACTGTGCACTGGATAGGCGCACAATTTTGTGTATGTATGTTCCTGGATTACATAGACAAACCTTTAAACATGTTCCAAAATGTCAGTGGATTCCACTTACAAAACTTCCGTGGATTCCGCGTACAATATAGCTAGTTGTTCTGGATTCCGCAACTGTAAGTGGATTCCACAAAATATAAGTAGAGTCAACGAATGTAAAAGGAGTCAGCGAAATTTGTAAGCGGAGTCCGCAAATGTCAGCGGATTCCGCAAATTGTCAGCGGATTCAGAATTTTGTCTATTACTGAACTTGCATATGAACAATTGAAAGCTAGAGCTGGAATTCTTATCTATAGCAATGCAGAATTTAAAGGCAAGGACTTAAACAGTGTCAGCGGAATCCACGAACAAATCTTAAAACATTTGTTAACTAAATCGGTGGATGTCAGCTTTTAGTATTTTGGAAACACAACACAGAATAAGTTCAATTTTTGGAGTCATTGGGTTGAGAGTGTATGGAAAGACAACACACAGGATATCGACAATTTAGGTCAGTATTTGAGATGGCTTCAATCCCAAATATTGATTTTGGAATTTTAACGCCGAATAAATGAAATATTTGTAGTTTGTAGTCCATGATCTGAGAGTGTTCGGAAACACAACGCACAGCATATTGCCGAATTAGGTCAGTATTTGGGATGGCATCAGTATTTGGGATCGCAGCTCAGATCGAAGTAGGTCAGTATTTGGGATCGGTAGGTCAGTATTTGGGATTGAAGTTCATTAGGTCAGTATTTGGGATCAAAGTTGAGATCGAAGTTGACAGGAATTGAGAACAGGGGCGGATTTAAGGGGAAGCGGGGGCGGCGGACGCCCCCCTTCAGGGATTCGACCCCCTGACGACCCAAAGGGTCCCCTTTTGGTACTTTTTAAGAACCAATTTTTTGGCCGGCCGACCCTAAAATTTTTCTAAGGGCGCCTTTCGCGCCAATTTATACTAATTATGAGTTGGGAGCGCGCGCCGAAAAAACGCGATTTTTTTAATCAAAATTTTACAAAAAGGACCAAAAACGCCTTTTTTGGCCTGTTTCGTCAAACAATTTGCCTGCGGCGCAGAAATTTTTACTAAAACAAGGTCTTTTTAGTGCTTTGGGAGAGCTCGGAAAATCTATTTGGTCGACCTAAGCAAAAATGAAAGTTTGACAAAACTTTAGATTTTTTTTCGAAAATCCGCCCCCCCCTTCTCGAAAAAATCCTAGATCCGCCCCTGATTGAGATCGAAGTTGGGTTGACAGGAAGTGAGGCCAAACATTTCAACTGGTAGTTGATGAAAGTAGTAAATGAGCTTGATTTTTCTGTTGACCAATTATCAAAAGATATAATTTTAAAGGCTATACTACACAT